TAAGTTTTTATCTTAGAAATAAGGTTTTCTCAGCGATAAAGAGGATAAGACGAAATATATGAATCATATTTATATAAAATGGGGGGGGGGATGTGCCAGACCGGCCAGCAGATCTGTCTCCTATTGAAAATGTATGGCTCCTCATGAAAAGAAGAATCAGACAACTACAATCACAGACTGCTGAGCAGCTGAAGTCTTGTATCAAGCAAGACTGGACAAAAATGTTGCTTGCAGAACTTCCTAAATTCCTAAATAACTAAACATTGTAATTCAACTGACTGTTGATGTACCAAAGTGTTAAACACGCCTCTGTCCAAACTTTTTTGGAGTGTGTTGCAGCCATCAAAATCAAAATGTGTTCATATTTACAAAATACATTTACGTTGGTCAATGAAAACTATGGACATTTTTTCTTTGTACTTTTGTCAACTAAATAAAAGTTAGAGAGAATGAACAAATCAGATTTTTAATTTTATTGCATTTTATAAAATGTCCAAACAGATTGTGATTATTTCTGGGAACTTTTTAACTGCAGGCAGACATTATGGTACACAGCAAATATTGAGTGTCCCTTATTTACTTAAAACAGTTTACGGAGAACAGTGCACTATTGCAGACTTACATACCGAGATTTTAATTACATTTTAATATAGTCAGTCATGAACTAAAATGAGTCACTCCGGCCCTGACACAATTGCCCAAATCCAAAAGCCGAACTAACAAAGTAAAGAATAAAAGAATAAGGTGATCTACACAAAGTATCTTACAGGAAGAAACGGTGTTTAAAACATTGTGATGACTGCTGCTTACATTTGATGACCGGCTAACTTAAGTCACGCAGCAGAAAGTTGTGTAACAGCAGAGTGGACGAAAATAAATAAAATGCATCACCACAATAAAGCTTCATAAAATATCATGATTTTCCCGAAGAAGGGACATTGAGTAAAGTAAGACTGAATGTTGCGTTACGTTCGTTAAATATAAAAAAAAAACAAAAAAAAAAAAAACAGTGAGGAATCGAAGTCCTACTTAAAGTGGTTTAACAGAAGAAAACATAAAACGTTCAAATACTGTAAAAAAACCTCACTTCGCAGTTAAGACTTTAAAAACTAATTTTAACGTCAATAAGCTACGAAAGTCATCTCTTCACCCAACGAACCTCACAACTACCAGTGGAGCTCTTCTATCGAGAAGGTGGGTGGCTCTTAAAAGAGCCTTTGTGAGAGAGCTGGAGCGGAGCTCTACTTGGAGCTGGTGTACTTGGTGACGGCCTTGGTGCCCTCAGACACGGCGTGTTTGGCCAGCTCTCCGGGCAGCAGCAGACGCACGGCGGTCTGGATCTCTCTCGAGGTGATGGTGGAGCGCTTGTTGTAGTGAGCGAGACGAGACGACTCACCGGCGATGCGCTCGAAGATGTCGTTAACGAAAGAGTTCATGATGCCCATCGCCTTGGAGGAGATCCCGGTGTCAGGATGAACCTGCTTCAGCACTTTGTACACGTAGATAGCGTAGCTCTCCTTTCTGGACTTTCTGCGCTTCTTTCCTCCCTTCGCTGCGGTCTTAGTGACGGCCTTCTTGGAGCCCTTCTTGGGCGCGGACTTCGCTGGTTCAGGCATGATTGACGCTTATGCGAGGTTGGATTTACAAATCAATACCTTTCTCTCTGCTTCAGGGGCTTTTATTCACTTCTCTATGCTAATCTTCAAAGCTTAAAGGAACAATCTGATTGCGTGATTTCTTTGGCCCAACCCAAAAGACGTATTTTATTGGACAGCTCAAGGCTTGTGAAGACCTATCACAAGCTGTTAAATGATAGCCCCGCCTATCGCTCCACGTGTGAACGGCACCCCACTGCCACTGTCTCCCTTGTTTCATTTCCCGCTTTTTTTTTTTTTTTAAGAAAACAATAGCTCTCTCCAAACGTTGTGCATGATAGAGTAACTTTAAAACCTTTATTCACCCATTTTCGGATGTTTTGAGGAGAGCAATAAGGATCAGAAGTGTTTAAAATCCCACCAAAACGTTACTGATGCATGGAGCTATAAATACAGGCTAACTACACTGTACAACTATATTGGTCCTCTACTTTTGAACTACAGAATTTCTAAATAAAAGCCCTTTTGACGTTTGTGTAATATTTACATTTAGCAGACGCTTTTATCCAAAGCGACTTACAATTGAGGAATACAACAAGCGATACATCACAAAGAGGCAAATAAACTCAGGAAGTGCTCATGATACAAAGCTGCTGACATTGTTCAGATTAGTACAAGTACTAGACATGAGGAACAACGAACGTTTTTTGTTTTTTAAATGATGCAGTCAAATGTTGACGAAAGAGATGAGTTTTCAGCTGTCGTTTAAAAAACCAGTCAGAGACACAGCATTCCGGATGGAGGAGGGAAGATCATTCCAGCAGTCAGGAACAGTGAAGGAGAATGTTCCGGAAAGGGATGTTGTGCCTCTCTGTGATGCTACCACGAGGCTACGCTCCCTTCTAGATCTCAGGCTTCTGGAGGGGTGTAAATTCATGAGAGTGAGTGGAAGTAGGAGGGTGCTGAGCCTGTGGCTGTTCTGTATGCAAGCATCAATGACTTGAATTGAATGCGAATATACATATCATTTTCTCTCTTGTCTAATTTGTGTGCAGTATCACTCCTGCTCTCACCGTCGTATCATACGGATCCAAAAGTCTTGACTCTTGTCTTTGTTTTATGATGGGTAATATAATAATATAGCCTAACTTTGTGCTTTGTACACCGTAATAGCACTTTAAGAAATACAATCTTGAGAATCAATTACAGATTAAAGACACAACGGAAAATAAATGTGGACAGCTTCATTAAAACGCTGTTTAGAAGTAATTTTAGAGAACATGTTTTATGGTCAGTTAGTCACTGGTGCAAGGCTGTTAGATTTGTTTATCACGCAAAACCTTAGCGATATATCCAGCTGCAGACCCGCAGCACCAGCAGTTTCAGAACCGCAGCGACAGAACCGCAGCCACAGAACCGCAACCACAGAACCGCAGCCACAGAACCAGAAGTGAGGGGAGGAGTTATTGACAACGAGAGAGCACGGTGAGTA